GGGGGGGGGGGGGGGGGGCTCTGCCACAAGCCCCCAGAGGCCCCGACAGCTACTGCAGCAACCAGTGAGTGCAGGACTTTTTTTAAGCGCTGGGACACTGGGGCCAGATGCGGGTCAGGGGCACTCAGGGGGGCTGGGGAAGTAGGCAGAGGATGGGGCCTGGTGAGGGTCCCCTCATGGTCCCCTCCCCCTGCCCCGTACTTACCAGCATGGAGTCTGAGTCCAGCTCCCTGCAGTGGCTAGCAGAGACCGTCTAAGTCTCCCCAAATACATTCAGAGGCTTTGGATTGATTTGGACCTTTTTTAAAGATCGGTCTCCTGATTCGATTTGGATGCCAAATCTCCTCTGAATTGAATCAGCAACTGAAGCTTTGCATAGCCCTACCGCACAGTAAACATCTCGGCATCTACACATGCACCCTTAGTAGCATGTGTGAAGTTAATGAAAAACTTCTGCAGCAGGATAGGACTTACAGATAAGCCCCAACCTGCTGCAGAGGTGTTTAACGTGGAGCAGCACGTGTGCAGACACTGCCCTGGCTGCCTGGGGCACAGGGTGCTTCCACGTGGGGCTAGCTGGCAGGCAGCTTGTGCCCCAGTCAGCCGGTCCACAGCAGGGGGAGTTCCATCGGAGCAGTCCTGTGACCCCCGGGGTCCCCTGCCAGTCTGTACTGCTCTGACTGGGCTTTGTGTGTTATGCCTGAATAAACACTGGAGCAATATGCTCTGGAGTTTTGCTTTGGGTGCACATTCAAATGGTGCACCTGGGAGCAAAAAACCTCCAGAGCTTACAGATGTGCCAGGAATAAAGAAAGATAAATTTAAAATTATTGACTAGATAGCTTTTGTCACTGAAGTATTAGAAGCTTGGCTTCCTATTCAGAAGAGTTACTATGAAAGAGGTGACAACGTTCACCATCACTAAAACCAACTCTTCTTTTTAAGAGTCAAGAAAAAGATATATCCAGAAGGGAAGGAGGAATAAATGTTATAGAACAGTGGTTTTCAACCTGGTTAGACTCAAGTTACCCCTCAGAAAAGTGCCAGCCCTTTCCTTTTACTTTTTTTTTTTTTTGACTACAGCAAAAAGGAGCAATTTTCTGTTGTAAAGAACTCAGAAAACCCAGAAGTCAGAATGTTTTTCACTATCTGAATTCCTAATTGAAATATCTGTGTTTATTTTGTGAATCATGTGTAGATGTTGGCACACCTCACAGTGCTAACACAACCTTAAATAGATCTCATGGCACCCTGGTGGAGAACAACTATTATAGAAAATTTCATACGTGGAAAGATTAAAGAGGCTCATTGCTATGTAGTTTAAAATAAGGAAAAAAAAGGAGATAATGTAAGAAATAGTACAGTAAAAAGCAATTAAGAAATATTTATAACTCATGTGGTTTCAGTGAAATTATTAGGATGAATGCATTTGGAAATTATACAATAAAATAAATGACATATCAGGACAATTCACAACAGAATATTTCAGATTCAAGTAGGATTTAGACAATCCTATAAAGCCAGGTTTTGCCATTATAATGACGGTGACCATCAATCCTCACACTTTCATAGAAAAACATTAATGCATAACAGGGGGAAGATACTGCTATACTTGGACAGAGTGCTCTACAACTGACCAGGCCTATATTTGATGTGGGGAATTGAACAGCCACAGTGTAGTCTTCCAGAGAAGCAAAACACACCGTCTTCCAGAGAAGCATCTGATATATACCACTGTATCAGATTACAGTAATCACTGGTCAGTTCTGGTATGGTAATTCTTATGCCCCAAAATAGTAACATAAGAGTTTTGTTTAATCATTTTATAGTTGAGTTTAGCCAGCAGTTTCCAATTAATTATTGTTTTATAGCTTATGCTGCAACATGTCTTTTAAAAAGGAGCTGCTCTTTTGCAGTATGACAAATCATACATCTGCACCTGGCTTGTTTCTCTGTCTAGTATAATGCTCATTTAAAAAAAAAAAAAATTGGCATACAAGTCCTCCAACACAGAATATACATGATAAACTAAGTGTGCAGAAAAGGACATTCCTAGTATCCGAAGTCACCTTCTGAACCTGAAACTTTTCATCTGTGCTCTTTACATTTCTCCCATGCATCCAGAAGGAGCATTACACTTTGAATTTCATAGACATTAGGGCTGGAAGGGACCTCGAAAGACCATCGAGACCAGTCCCCTGCCCAAAGGGCAGGAAGTCAGCTGGGGTCATAGGATCCCAGCAAGCTAAGCATCCAATTTACTCTTGAAGGTGTTCAATGTAGGTGCTTGAACCACCTCCAATGGCAGGTTGTTCCAGACCTTGGGAGCTCGGACAGTAAAGGAATTCTTCCTTATGTCCAGCCTGAAACGGTCTCGCAGTAGTTTATGACCATTCGACCTTGTCATCCCTTGGGGGCGCTCTGGTGAACAAACATTCCCCCAGATCCTGGTGGTCACCCCGATAAACTTTAATAAATAAATGGATATACTTTGTCCTCTGTACCAGGAGTGATGTTAGGGCATGGAAAATGGTGTAAATGCATAAGGCTTGCACTGATCAGGGGCCCCTGTTGCATTATGGCTTTATTTCCCATGTTAATAGAAGGGGGTCTCAAACCTGGACACTTGCATGCCTGCCCTCTCCACCCTGGGAAAAAAAAGTGAACCTCACCACTTCCTCAAGTTCGAATGCCCCATAACTAAACATCCTCCTGCTGAGCTCTGGAGCTATTTTCCTACTTCTCCTAAAAATGAAGATTTCAAATATATCTTTGCTCATTTCAGACCAACTAAGATGCAGTGATGTTTAGGTGCTGGCATACTAGCTTGCTCTGGCAGTTGTCTTTGGTTGGAACTGCTAACCTGAATTCAGTTCTGCAGATGAATAAGTTTGTCTCACTCAGCCCAGCTGAGTGTTTCTTACCCAGGCTGCAAATCCCCTGAAGCCACAGGCAACAGGCCTCACCTGCTCCAGCCCTTAAAAGCTAGTCCCAGCCCACAGTATCCCTGTCTAGGAAAGGGTGTAAATTCTTGCTTTTGATCCTACATGCATTTCTTTGCTGGTTCTCTCTGGTTTTGACTCTTGGCTCTGACTCCAGGTAAGACCCTTGACATTTCCCCCATCTAGTTTTCTGCTCTTGAATCTAGTTTGACTTCTGGTTCTGGTGCATGATCCTGATTAACTTTCTGCTTAGCCTGTCTTTAGCTCTTGACCCCAGTCTGTCTCAATTTCCACCATGGCTTGCAGTGCCAGTAGCAGACCCCTCCATAGCCTCAGCTCCTGGGAAGCCAGCCTGGACTGGACTGGTGCTTCAGATGCCTAATCACTATGCCAGACTGCTAATGCCCCAGTCCCCAATACTTATTTACATGTTTTTGGAGATCTAACATTTGTTAGTTGTATGTATTTTTTTATGCATTATGCTGGCAGAAATAGCTTTAATATTGTAGGCATGGTGCAAGTTAGAAAAATGCATGATCCTGATTGAAGATTGCTGGGTTTGGGTGGGGGAGATAGGCACCTCTTAAATGTGATGCATGTCGGGGGCCCTCGTCTGAGTTGCACAGGAAAAGGATGGGGTATAGAGGAGGCCTTTCTTAGGATTTCAATAAAAATGCAGACTAACAGTTTAACTGCACTTTAAATAGAACATGCGTCCAGGTTACAAGTGTCATTAAGGTATGTTAATACAGTGAACAAGCCACAAAGTTATAATATGATTCCATGTACAATCTGGAATAACTTCGGGGCTCACTTGTATTGCTCTTTAAACTGAACATGTGGCCAGTTGGGACCAGTACATGACAGACCCTGACATGCAGCTCTGTCAGGATTCAGCATGAGGTAGCCCCAAGGTCTGGGACACGGATCTCCCTTATCCAGTTGGGGCTGGTGGGGCAGAACCAGTCTTTGGATCCTGGACCCCTGCCCAACCCCCAGAGGCAGGTGGGAGGGAAAGAGAGAAGGGCACAGAGAACCTGACACCCAGGAATGTCTTCCTGATCTTGGACTCACTGCACCTTGGACCTTTAAAAGCCACGTGTGATTCTGACATCCCCAGTGCTTGGGAACTCAAGGAGCCTCTCCCCTGAGGTCCCCATGCATCAGGGATGTTAGAAAAAGTCCCAGTATGAGAAGACCCCAGGATTGGGAAGAGGCTTCTTGATCCTGGGGCCTCCATATT